GATAAATTGCAAACTTCAGGTGCAACAATGTGAGTGAGCCTTTTTTTTAATCTCCTCTGGCTTGTTGTCCCTTGCATTTAATATTTATTTTATTTATCTGTCACATGCCTTATATCCTGTTCAATGACAGGTAGTCCTTAGCTTAATTGAACCCAACATTTCTGTTACTAAGTGAACAGTTGTTAAGTAAATTTTGCCCCATGTTACAAGTTATTAAGGTTGTGAGGTGAATATGATTTCCCCATTGACTTTGCTTCTCAGAAGGTCACAAAAGGGGACCACATGATCCCAGGACACTGCAACCGTCATAAATATGAGTCAGTTGCCAAACATCTGAATTTTAGATCATGATTGTGGGGATTCTGCAACAATCATAAAGTGTGAAAAAATGGTCAGCAGTCACTTTTTCAGTGCTAATGTAATTTTGAAAGGTCACTAAATGAACTTTTGCATGCCATGACTAACTATTATTATGGTATTTATGTATTGCAAGCTTTATATTACACCTCAAAACCTTCTTGGTGAAGAGTTTCAGAAAATTAATTATTTTGATAACATTTTTAATTGATCTCACAAAAGCATATCCTATTATGAATTCTTCAGCTTTTGTAGCCGATTGAATATGAGCTTCTAGGTTATTAGTGTCTTTACTAAAGAGTCAGCTGTGTCTTACAACACACTGGGTTTTGGTTCATGAATAGAGACAATCCTTCTGTGCTGAGTCTTTGCACTGTGCTTATTTCAAGAATTTTCTTTCAGTTGAATCATATAAAATACAAATAACTGTAATTTTAAAATACCCTAAAATTCTCTTAGCTAATCAGTCGGAAGTTCAGAACACACAAATACTGGTAAGAATTACTCATCTTCATTAGAAGAAATGAAGCCTTTTGGCTGAGTGAATAAATGTTCTTGAAACATTTGAACCATGGCATTTTTGATAAACAAAAAAAGCTGAAGGAAGCTGAAGGTAGCCATGCCAACTGGGCAGGACATTTCTTAAAAAATAAACATTTCACTTATTCATATTTTATACTGGAAATACCAAAAATATTTGATGATGTAAATATATTTTATTGTTATTTTACTTCTGTGATGTATTAGAGTATTGTAGTCAGGGTACAGTTAAATCTATTTGAGAATTTAAAAAATAAAAAAGAAATAGGAAGGCTTTGCATAAACAAACTTGTTTGCAACATTTATTTTCTTTGTAGTCTGATTAAAAAAATATAAACTGAGCTTTTAGCAAGCTTTTCTATTTCCTAATATTCAGTGACAGGACATTATGGGTAGAATAATTTTAATCTTTCCCATATCTCACTAGACATTTCTGATGTAAGTCATGTTGATTGCCATCTGAATCAGAATTGTTTGGAAGCAATTTCCATCAATTTTAGTAAAAATGTAAGTAATTAAGACAAAATAAATAAGCACAAAAGACATGACTCTACAACTTGGTTGATGCAAATTATAATCTGCATCAGTTATCATTACTGTGCTTTGTGCAAAAGTAGAGCTCTGAATTGATAAGAATGATCTTGATGATGATACAACTTCCTTTAGATGAAAATTCTGTAAAATTTAGTTTCATTTTCAGTACATTAAGATGGATATTCTGACTTTCAAACAAATTAGGATCTGGGAAATATCGTGTTCAGATGCAGGATTTTCTGTTGATATATTTCTATATCTTTTGTACTTCCATTCAAGCATCCAAAGTTCTTCAGGTTGGATAGAAAATTGCAGAAGAGATATTTCTTGTGCCCTTCTCTTTTTCTCCACATTCTTATTTTGTGCCAAAAACATTCTGTACCTCCCTTGAATATTCTAATACTTGAAACAGCTGTTCTGAAGACAGAACTTTCTCTTAGTGACTGACAAATAGTGGCATTTAGTTAGTTAGTTTGTTTATTTGGTTAGTTTTTTTGTTTGTTTGCCATCCATATTTTTTCAAGGCAGCGGTCTTTATGCTGGAAGAATTTTCATTTTCTATCACTGGCTTTATTTTCCTTTGTTGTTTTCTGTTTATATACTACTTGCCTCATGTTGTTTCAGTCTTTTCCTTCTACTTTAGATTTCTTCTTCAGAAACATTTTTTTTTCCTGTAGATGACTGCAGGCTATTCTGATCTGCAAATTAGGAGTTATTTCTTTTTCAGTGCTGATTATCCAAATCTTTTGTTCAATGCCTTGATGTTCCCAGAATTAGCTCTCAAAAGATTTCACACCCTTTACAGTGTGAAAAAAGAATATAATGAAGGAACTGCCTTGAACATTAGTAGAAAGGTAGCTATAAATCCACAAAACAAAGAAAGGAATTAATGAATAATGTCAATGACATATTTTAATGTGAAATGTATATGTTTCCAGAATTTAGCAAGAATATGTTTCTAATCATTCAGAATGCGATAATGGTGTAAGGAAAAATGGGTTGTCAAATACCTTATTTTAGGCAGCTTTCTTCAACCTGATATTTCCAGCATTTGGGACTCTAACTTTCCTAATTCCCAACCAGCATAGTAATCAAAAGACATTGGATAAAGAAAAGTTTATTTCAGGATTCTCAAATACGATTCTAGTCTAATCAAGAATGAAGACTACAAGGCACCAGATGAGGCCTCAGTGCCTTTCAGAGTTGCCACCTTACCACAATTTTACTATGATAGAAATAGAGAACTAATAAATGCACAGTAATAATCTAACAGTATTTAACCAATTTAAATTATATCAAAATTTAGTTTTTATCATGGTCCCATCCATTTGAATCTCTGGCATGCCAAGGGTCAAGTGCTGCATTCAGCCCTCAAAGTGGTACAGCCTGGTCAAAATAAAAGCCTCCTCATCAGAACGATCCCAGCACTGGAAAGCCAGACAAAAACCAATTGTTCAGCATTTCCCTCCAGAAACAGTGAGTTCCTTTCTTTATTCCTGAAGGGATGGGAAACCTGTTAGACTGATTCTTTTCACAGAGGAATATGACTACTGGCCCAGAGAAATTTTTCTTGAGGTTGGGAACTTTTCCTTGTTGAAGAAAGCCCCACTATGCTCAAAGGCTTTTGTCAAATATCTTGACAAGGTGTACTGCCTTGTGTTTCAATAATAACTTGATAATAATAATAATAATATTCAATAACAACCCAGGATTATCTTTTAATTTCATTTTGAATTTTCGAACTACCCACAGAAAGGTCAAGCAGTTCCCTTAACAGTTGCTGATAGCCTTGTGGGACAAACACCCCCCCCCCCCCCCGCAATTCTGTTGTCACTAGCGCTAGCTTTTGTTTTATACAAACTGGGTATCCAGCAAGACACAGGCTGCTCTTGTCGTCTATGATTAATATCCAGCAAGAGCAATTACTTCATACTTGAGCGTGGCACCTATTGGCACTTTGGGGCTTTGTGGAACAATTATCTAGGGAAAGGAAGGAGGGATGCTTTTCTCTCCCTTAACCCCCTCTCCACACCTCCAGTGTTCGTCCCTTGTTGAAGAGAGATATTTCTGATAAATGCTATTGTATTCCTTTCTGGAAACCAGGGCTGGTAAGTGCGGTATGTTCGGTCAATGCTAATCATTTTAAGCAGCTCTGAAGGAAATCGGAGAGGCTCTCGACTGGACTCCCCCACCCGCACTTAGAGAGGCGAGGTCGAAAACAATAAGGCAAGTGCCTCGCCGCTTTTCTCTTCTTCGCTTGTCCTACTGACAGCCAAAGGTTCGCCCGCCTTATAATCTGCGCGAGACGAACTAGCGCAGATCAAAGCTCTCGGCGGCGGCTGCAGCGACCTGGCGAGCAAACGGGCGGGATTCCAAGCAGGGTATCGTTTAACACGAGCACCGAGCTATTTAAGCCCATTGAGTAAGGTTCAGCTGTGGCTCACGCGGCGGCCGGCTAATCCATTTCTACGCGGGCAATCAGGCGTCCTTTTCGGAGATTGTTGGACTTTGACATCTTGTCAGTTGCTCCACACAACTGTCCATGGCAAAAGGAACTGTGGGGATTATAGTCCAGATCAGAAGAAGGCAAGGTGGCCTCCGCCGTGTTCGGGTTATTTTCTCTCCGGTGGCTCCCCGGAACCGGTTCTTTGGATTGTGTCCAAAGGCTGCCTCCTCTCCGTTTCTGCGTACTAACCAATCTCTTGACTTGTTCAGCAATAACGTGCGTAGGGTGTGTACATGTAAAAGTCTGGAAAGCGGGGTGCCCAAAATGCGCTTCCTCCCTTCCTTCCCTCCCTCTCTCCGTGCTGCCCTGCTTTTAACGCAACCGTGCTCTGGTTTCTGCTAAAGCCGTCACTTCAGAAGGTTTTGTACGGCGATCCCAACAAGGAATCGGGATCACCACCAGCACTTTGGGGGAGGGGGGGCGCGGCGGCTGTGGGGGCAGCATCCCACATCTGCGGGTGCAGTTGAAGAAAGTGGGTGGGGCTTCGGCGGGATCGCTGGGCAAAAAAGCCACGCTCTTTTCGGATTGGCCGTCTTTAGGTGTTATGTCACGTCCGGCGGGGAAGCCTTGCCTTGTTGTGGAGCCGCCTCTTTCTGGTTCTGGCTGCGTTTTGCAGGTGCTGCTGCTGCTGCTGCTGCTGCTGCTGCTGCTGATTGCTGCCGTTTCGTGCCGCCGCCGCCGCCACCACCACAGTCGGCGGGCGCAGCGGAGTCATCGAGGCGCGCGCGCGCGCGCGCGACTCACTCCTGCCTGGGAGAGCTGCGTTTGGTCCGGTTGGGGAGAAGAGCGCCTGGTGCCGCTTCTTCTCCTTCGTCGTTTTCCGCGCTCAAAACTTCCCTCCCAGACTTATAACCATTTCCCCATCTTTATTAGCATAATTTGGTTTCTCCATACTCTGGTCAAGATTTGAAAGATGCAACGTCTCCTTTTTAACTGTGCTTTTTAAAAAAAACCAAAAACAAAGGATTTTTTTTTCCTAAAAAAATAATCATCATCATCACACACTGCATACAAAAGCTCCGTTTGGGTCTCCCCCCCCCCTTTTCTTCTCCTCCCTGTGCAACCTCCTTTCTCCGTTTTTTTTCTTTTTTTTTTCTTTTGGAGGCGATCTCTGGAGCCGGCACGCGAATTTCCTTCGCCGGGATCTGCTTTTCTGAGAGTGACCGTTGAGCATTTATATCGAAGTTCAGCCTCTTCCCAACCTTTCACCTCTTTGCTTTTGGAAAGCGCGCCCCTTGGCCGCCTCTTCCCTGTCTGGAAGTGGCCTGACCCCCGCCGCTGACTTGGCCACCTTGTGCGCTGCGCGCTGCGATTGTATTGTTCGCCGCCTCCCCCCTGAAAGGGCTTGCTTGTTGCCAGCGTGGGAGAAAAAGGAAGGCATCCGTAGGGAGGGATGCCCAGCGGAAGGAGGGGTTGAGCGATCACCTCCCCGCCACCAGCAAGAGCTCTTGAAAAGAGAGTACCGAGCGGCACGCGGAGACCGGCGGGACGCTGCTCCTCTTCTTCTTCTTTTTTCTTCCCTCCCTCAGCGGCGTCTGCAGGTTCCTTTCAGACGAGGAAGGATTGGGGCAGGCGGCAAGGATGCGTTTCTTCCCGGAGGGATTTTGGCTACTGTGGGTCGCCGCGACCTGTTCGGCCAGGACTGAAGGTGGCAACAAAGCGAGGAGCTGCTCTGAGCTCCGGCAACTCTATGGAGCGAAAGGATTCAGCCCGAATGTGGTTCCCCAGGCGGAGATCTCCGGTGAGTAAAGCTGCCTTTGCGTCCCTTCTCCCCTCCGCCCCCGCCCGGCTTCTGCAAGGCGAACAAAGGGATTTCTAGCTGCTTTAACGGGAAAGCCTGCCGCCCACTTCCAATAGTCTGAGGAGAGACTGAGATGGTCCTGGGGTGCCGGGTTCAGGCAGGCGGATTGAGGGTCGGAAAGCCTACTTGAAAAGAAAAGAAAAGAAAAAAGGGTTGGGGGAGAGAGCAAATCGGTTTCAGCAGCTGAGCTTTCACTAATGGGGAGGAAAAGTCTTCGGGCAAGTGCTGTTTTCTCCCTGAATAAATGCAAGCGCGGCTGGGATAAGGAATCAAGCTTTTAGATGTGACTTGGAGAATGTCCCGGGTATTTTTAAGAGCTTAAGCCACGAACAGCGTCCCGTCCGTTTAAGAGGTCCGATTTGGATCTTTACATTCCCTGGATTTTTAAATAAGGAGGGCTGATAGATGTGCATAGATGCTATTCTAATCAGTTTGGGTCCATTGTTGTTGTTGTTGTTGTTTTTTATTTTTATGTTAACGTCTCTAGCAATAGCTTGGCTCTGGAAAGGATGGGGGAACTTCTCATCATCTCCCATTTTATTGTGCAGTGTTTTTTTTTCTTTTTGTTAAACCCAGTTTTGCCAGTACTCTGTTAAACTTTCTGAAACCGTGCAGGGTTACAAGCACCATCCTTCTCCAGGATCAGGGAGGGTACTAAAAGTGGTTCTAAACAGTCTGGACTGCCAGGAAGTTTAATATGTGGATAGTCTGTTCTTCCTAAACCAGCTTTGAAGCCAGGACTGAAATCTTCGTGAAAATGCCTCTGTCAAACATTTCCTTTAAATCTAGAGCTGGTGGCTTTTGCTCACATTTAACACTGCTTCTGTCTCAAAAATGTATCTTTTGAATTATATTTACTAGGAAGAGATTTTCTTATTTCTTCCCATTCTCCTCCCACTCTTTGCTGCATGATATTGGGGGAGGATGTGATTTGCTGGCATAGTTTTAAAAATAAAACACTGTTCATAGCATGTGGCTATTATAATGCTTGAGAAAATTTGAGTCAGGAGTCTAGTAGTGAATAGTGAGAAAAGTTGTGATTGGTTGCAAAGTTAGAGAATGCCATAAGGTAATAAGAGATGTTATGTTTCATCCTGTTTGGGGAAGATTAAAGACCAGCTGACAATTTTTTTTTAAAAAAACACACAAATGCTAACTAGGTTGTTTGAAATCTGTAGTTGAAGATAGCAAGAACTCCCTCTTCAAGTTTATTGAATAATATAATTTGACTATCCTGCTTTCTTTCCACAGCTTTCTTTTTTTTGTAGTCCTCATACTTATAGAAATTTATAAATTGAAAAAAAATCATATATTCTTGCTGGCATCTAAGAACTTTTCTATTGAAACTCAGCAGCAGATTACTTCAGAGTAAGGATGACTTTGATCATTCAAATTCTGCTTCTCAGTCAATTTTACATTGTTTGCATAGAAATACATTTCTGTGACAGTTCTAAATAAATTATACTATAGTGAGTCATTTTTAGTTTTTAGGCATTCGATGTTGGCTAGTAGTTTATACAGAAGCATCTTCTGTTGTTTGAGCTTAGGTTCAGATCAAACTGAAGTTCTCAAAGAATGTTTGCTTCTCATATAGGACTGAACTGTCCCCTACAGAATGATTTCAGTTGTCTGATGCATCCTCATTAATTGTAATACTGGATTTCCTCAGTTTTGAAATAGTCTTAAGTATTGTATAAGGAGTAAAGATCTTATAGGACACTTGAATAAATGCTGACTTTTCTTTTTAACTTTCTACAGTAAGGATAGTGGTTGCTGTATGAAACTCTAATCTTGTTCAAAAATGCTTGGGAGAAAAATGTTTAAAAGTCTGTAGTAAAATAAACATGCTTAGGATAGACTTATCTGCCCTGTATCTGCAGCTGCCCACATGGAATAAGTAAAACTTCTTACAGTTAAAATAGTATATTTTGTTTCTTGGCTTTATTCAGACTGACGCAAAATCAGAAAAGAAAACTAACTAAAAATTGAATTTGTATGTTTGATTTTTTAAAAGTTGGGCTGGTGGTATGTTGGTATGTTAAGAGAAAACATTTGGATGCTTCACTTATCACTTTGCTATTTAGTGAGAAGGTTCCTATTTATTTATTTATTTATTTGAAATAGTTGTATGGCTGTCAAAGTGATTCAGGGTGGCTGACATTAAATTCAATATAACTCAAGAGAAAGACTACAGAATCACAATACATAAATATAATGATAATAAAATTGTGACCCAAACAAATAATAGGATTACACCAGTTTTTGCTAGCAGATTGGCTCTGTAATGAGAAATAATAATTAAAACACTCATATTTTTTTCTGAATGCGGATTTGGTTTTAAACTTAAGAGAGACTGCAGTTGATATATGGATGTAAATCCAGATCCTTTGAGCTTAGACCTTTTAAATACAGAAAGATGTCTAGAGGTTTGTAACTACCTCTCTTTAGCTGAATTCATTCCGGACTCAGAAACCAAACCACTCACCTCTACTTCCAAAACTATGAAATAATGTGGCTTATCTATAGCCTAAATCAATTTGATTGATTTACACTATGTCCTTCCTCACATAGCTGCAGGCAACATATAGAAATAAGCCAGCCAAAGTCACTTCAACAGGGAGATGGGTGGCATATAAATTTAATTAATTAATAACAAACAAATAAACAAACAAATAAATAAATAAATAAATTCAGGCAGTTCTTTTATTATTTTATTCATTCAAAAAAGCCTTATGTTTGGTTCAAAGTTACCCATCAATGTCTAAGTCTGAAGTCTTAACAAGTATATTGGTCCTCTATATTACACTGGTCATGCCGGCCACATGACCACAGAGACATCTTCGACAGCGCTGATTCTTCTGCTTTGTAACAGGAATACCGCCCCCTAGAGCTGGAAATGACTAGCACATATGTGCGAAGTGAACCTATACCTTTACCTGTTACACTGGTGAGATTAACTTCTATATGCTGATGACATTCCAGCTCCCAGAAACTCAATTTCTACTTAGTTGATTGTGCTGATGGTTGAAGAGAGAGAGAGAAAAAGAGATGAGGGCTTAATGCCTGGGGTGCTTGGATAACGTCATGTTGAGCCTGCTTACTTGGGACAGTGCCATGGTAAAAATTATAGCACTGAAAGAAAGACATGAGAAAGATTGCCAGCAACTGGAGAAGGTAGGAGAGTTAATGGAAGGGAAACTTACCTAGAGGTGAACTCTGCTTACTCTTGTATTTAATACTGCTTTCCTTTATACTTTAAAAGCCTTTGAAGCCATCATAATTCATAACCCGAGTCTGAAAAATGTAAACAGAATCTACATTATATATACAGAACATATTAAGGCAGAATAACTGATATAGCCCCTTTGACATCCATAAATTTACCTGATCCACCTGATTTTAATGTTAAAAAAATCTATTTTTAACATTGGGAAATGGCGCACTATAGGACTACAGCTTCCCCTAGCATCGTTTGTAAAACTACTTCTGGGTTGTACATAGCCCCCCTAACAAGATCTGGCATGTTCAAAAGCAAAGTGCCTGAGACTAGATTAGTCCATTACAATAAATGACAGAATAAAAGAGGTGCCATCCATTACCTCCACTGAGATACAAATGGCTCTCAGTCCAGGGGAACATTAAGGCAGGAGAGCATAATTGGTATCTAAGGTATACCAGCAACGTAAGTATCTTATCAGAGCTATGCCCTTGAATCTCTGGCTATAAGCATTCTGGTTCAAGTATCAGACTGAGGAAAGGTGCAGAAAAAGACAAATGGAAATGAAGGAGAGAAAAAAGAATGGAAGTATGCTTTGCTATAAACCATCTGCTTACAGCACTGCCAGCTGTGTGCTGAAAAGGGAATTCTTCAAGTTGATGGTTGTCATGTGCACTTCAAATTGGTAAGAACAAACCTTTTGGCTTGCCTTTTGGCATTGAGGAATTGTCTTGGGCTGCATATAAAATATATAACATGGCTAATGCATATAAATCACATAATAATGTTAGAAGTTTATGATCTTGTGGGGCTTCACTACTAGCTGTCCATGAACCTCGTGTGGTCCATAGGCCTTGATTTCGATATGCCTGGGTAAGAATAAAGACTATAGAAAGTCATATTTGTGTTGTGCTAATATCAGTTTAGTATGAACACAAGTTTCACCATGTTTTGCTACAGCATGTGATTTAGACAGTCAGAGAACTGTTGTGCATTTTATAATGGGAATTGCTAATGTTCATAACAGGAAAACCCACATGTAAATACTCATATGTTACAAAAAGCTCTCTTCGTAGTCAATTCTGTTTTCTTAATTTTTAACTTATTTGTTCCTTACAGAGAAATCCTTCATATTCTTCTGCCTTTCCTGTAAATCTTTCTCAACTGATAAACTTTTTGCAATTATTATAGCTTCCTTTATTGGAGCTGTAAACAACTATTCTTTAGGTCCCCAAATATAGTGATCTTTCTGAATTCATGACTCAAATTATAATTAAACACCCCATGGAGATACTATTACGAGTTTATTTGTTTTCTGCTACCCAACTCCAGTATTTTGTTGCCAATCTCATTGTACACATGTTGTACTCTGACAATGAAGGTAATAAGATATTTATATAGGGTAAGAATTGGCAGTAGATTGCCACTGTACAAATACATTGATAATTAAGAGCTCATCCTGTTCTGTTTATTCTTCTGTTATTTCAGTTGCCCGGGAATTGAATGTGATTACATATGAACATTTTTTTTACTTTGATTTCAACTGACTTGGTACAGAATATGTAGAAAGGTACTATAACTCTAGTTAAGGTGTACAGCAGGAGCCAGCAAAAGCTGAGCTTGGGAGGACCACGCAGTTGGGTGTCCTTGGGTCAGTTAGTCTTTCTTAGCCCTAGGAGAGGGGTAGTGGCAAAACCCTCCCAAAATCTTGCCAACAAAACTG